TGGTTAGCTTTTTTGAGTTTCAAACATTTAACTGATAGGGCTAAGCTACATAATATTCTAATCAGACACATAAAAGTACTTAATATCTTTCGTTATGTCTTCACAGGCTCAGACCATATTCGAGAGAAAGATGGGGTATGGGCAGTTTTGGCTTGGCTCTCTATTCTTGCCAATAAGAATAAGGATAACCTTGGGGGAGAAAAGCTTGTGAGTGTTGAAGACATAGTTCGCCAACACTGGGCAACCTATGGACGGCACTATTACACTCGATATGATTATGAGGTATCTGTAGAATCATGCTTCTTATTCAACGTTAAACGAGTTCTTCTGTATATGTTTATCATGACTCCTGTTACTCTGTTGGTATTATTTATTCCAGAATGTCGATGCGGCTGGAGCAAAGGAGCTAATGGCTCATTTGGTCAAGCTGCAATCCTCCCTCGATGAAGTGAACAAGTATGCTACTCTTTTTATGTCAATTTCTCTCTGGAAGATGAAACATTTCTCAAACTCGGCATTGATATTTGCTGTTTGTAGCATGTTTCACATGTTTTATTTCTTTTATTTTTGAGGTATTCTGCTTTGGTTTACCATCTCTTACATGACGCAAATCCAGGTATAACCAGCTTAAGCATTGGTTAGTAGGTCTTCTTTGCATGGTATTACAACATAGTTTAAACTAGTACTATAAGTCAATGACATGTTTTAGCATTAAGCAGTTACTTATGGAATCTCAGAACTATGGTTCTGCAAGAGAGAGAACGGACAACAACAATGAAGACCACTAGTGAAATAGTTTCCGTTTCAACTTTTATTATTGTTCTCTGACTCAGTTATTACTTCTACAGTGTATCCTGTAAGTAGGCTGAATGGAGAACCAAATTATGTCAATTCTATTAGGTAGGCTGAAAGGAGAGCAAATCAGGTCATTAGTCAGTAATTCTTGTCGCTTTCTTATCATGATTCCTTCCAAGAGAATGAAAGCCTTCTTTAGAAGGAGAGTGAATATGAAAATAAGAGGATCGTAGATACCAGAATCGACATCTTCTGGATGTGTTTCATGAATTCGTATAGTGTCTAAAGTTTGAAATCTTCTTTAAAGCCAAAGCCTTGTTATTTGGCTGCAGTCTAAAACTTGCAGCAACTTTTACCAATTCTGAATCACCTGGTTCTTCATTGTGGTGATGGAATCAAATCTGTGTATTCAAAATATCTTCCATCTCTCTTGTCAAAATGGGCGTTTATAAAGAATGATTCTTTCAAATTCATGGTGCATATACCACAAAAGAAGAATTTCTGGTCCCGTGTGTGACAGTTGCTTAGTTTCTTGTTTCTAGCGGGGAAAAAGATTCTAGCGAAGTAAGCATCTTTGTTAAGTTTTGTCCTGGTTTTTTCTTTCCCTTTTTGAGGTCTCTTCTTTAATGGTCCCTTTCTAAGGTATCAGGGTCTTTGCGTTCTTTATTGAACTTCCTTGTATGTGTTGATTGGTTAGTGAGCTTGGCACACTCTGGTGGTTTTTCCGCTGTCTTTTACATTGCTCCTTTGGTGAATGGTAAAGAGCTGGGTTTTATTCTTTAATTTAATACCTCGTTGTGTCAGCTGATTTACATGTAAAATTAGTTTAGTTTGTGATAATTAAATGTCTTAAAGGAAACCTAGAGAAACATTATGTTATCTAAGTTTCTCCGACATGGCAGTTTAGGTGCCGCACCCGTGCCAACACGACACTAGTATGGGTGTGGGATCCATACCGGATTTTGTCAAACAATTTTGGGTACTTTGACCACGACAGACGAAACAATTCGAGACGAGATACAATTTGATTCCGGAAATCAAAACCAGAACTCGGGTACATTTGAAGAAAATAACACCTTATCTAGGAAATCAATCATTTAATTATCTACAACTTGAGAATAAAAAAAGAAATCCAGCTATACGTAAATATTCTACAAATTTTTTCATAATTTAAAGGTATTTTTATATTTTTATATTTTTTAAATTATTTTTAGCTGAATTCCCGGACACGTATCCGTATCCCCGAATCTTAGAATTTACATCTCGAAGGATCCGACCTCTAGATCCGCATCCGTGTCGGACACCCGCACCCATGTTCAAGCAACTTAGCATGTTATAACATTGGATGCCTCCTTTTATGATTAGAAGAATGTGGCATCCTAATTTGGTAAATTCTAGTTATCAGAGATATCACTGCTCGAGGTTGATACCTATGCATATTTCCTTTGTTCTTGCACATTTATTATTAACCATATTACTTGTCAAATAACTCCTCAAAACAGGTCGAAACAAATTTCTGCTGCGCTTTTGTGTCTTGTGGATTTTCGTTTGTTTTGATCGGTTTAGTATAATGAAGTGGTCCTTTGTGCAATAATTTGCTATATGATAGGAGGAAAATTGTCTTAAATGACATTTTAAATGTCTGCTGTTAGTTAGTTAGTTGTTATGTAAATAAGCATAGCCCTACATGGAATAGGAGTAGTGTAGGTATTGTGTATTGATATAAATAGGGTACTTGTATCATAGTGAAAGTACATCAATAATATAATTTTTCGGTGTATTATTTCTCACATGGTATCAAAGCGTGAGTGAGACACATTAGAAAAAAAAGTTGGACAGTTGCCGTGCATCAAATTCCGGCAACTTTCTAGGCTGATTTACGTCAGATTAGTCTCTGTAGGTGTTGTGCGAAAGCCAACACCACCACATGGTCCCTAAGTCTTCCGCGACCAAACCCAAGAAACGATCTCCGGCAACCGACCCTTCACGGCCCTCACGCGCGCATCAGAAGTCAGTAATTTCGTCGAGATCTACTCCACGCATCGGCGTATGTGGCCTTTTTTCGGCCAGATTTCGAATTTTTTCTTTTAGACAGCTTGTTCGCAAGGCTTTTCCGAGCCTACCCATCCAAGTTTCACCAAAATCTGATGACTTCTTTATTTTCCGGCAAAAAATTCCAGATTCCGAATTTATCGGCAACATTATCCAGATTTTCGCTTACTCTTCTATTATTTGCTGATATTTTGCTAGCCCTCTCTTCAATCTAACCATGTCTCTCAGACTTGTTGGTTTTGGTTCCAAAAATAGTGGAGTTTGGAAATTCAACCTTGATGATTACTTCTGAACCCCTACTTGGGAGTTCAAATTATTTATCTTGGGTTTCGTCTGTGGAGTTGTGGTGTAAAGGTCAAGGTGTTCAAGATCACTTAACCATAAAGGCTAGTGAGGGAGATGAAAAATGCCGAAGCACAGTGGGGAAAGATCGATGCTAAGTTATGTAGTATCTTGTAGTGATCTATTGATTCTAAGTTGATGTTTTTGTTCGTCAATTCCAGGCATGTTATTTAGTTTTGGAAAAGGCTCGTACTTTATACAGTAATGACATATCTCGTTTCTATGATGTGATATCGGGAATGACAAGCTTGAAGAAACAAGAATTGAATGTGTCTACTTACTTGGGACAAGTACAAGCAGTCATGGAACAATTTGAGAAGTTGATGCCAGTCTCTGCTAGTATTGAAAAGCAACAAGAGCAACGCCAAAAGATGTTTCTAGTTCTTACACTCGTTGGACTTCCTAATGACCTTGATTCAGTACGTGACCGGATTTTTGCTAGTCCAACTGTCCTTACAGTCGATGAACTATTCTCTCGATTACTTTCCCTTGCTGCAGCACCAAGTCACCCAGTGATCTCATCACAGACCCTTGACCCCTCTGTTCTCTTATCCCAACAGTGGAAAATCGGGCATCTCAAGCTATGGAGAATAGACGAAGAGAAGGTCGTTTTGGAATATCTAGACCCAAGTGTTCTTATTGTCATAAACTTGGACACACTCGTGAAGTGTGCTATTCTTTACATGGTCGACCGCCCAAAAATGCTTATGTTGCTCAGACCGAGACTACAAGTAACCAAGGATTTTCTTTACCTGAAGGGCAATATAATGAGTTCCTTCAGTATCAAGCAAGTAAGCAGACATCTCCACAAGTAGCCTCGGTTGCTCAGACTGATACTTCTATTTCTGGTAGTTCTTTTGCTTGTGTTTCTCAGTCTAGTACTCTTGGACCATGGGTCATGGACCCAAGCGCTTCTGATCATATCTCTGGTAGTAAATCACTTTTGTCAAATATTGTGTATTCACAGTCTCTTCCCACTGTTATTTTAGCGAATGTGTTTCAAACTAAAGCAAAAAGAGCTGGACAAGCTAATCCACTATCTTCTGTCACTCTAGATTCCGTTCTTTATGTCCCTGGCTGTGCTTTTAGTCTTACATCTGTTAGTCGTTTGACTCGTGCCCTCTATTGTGGTATATTTTTTATTGATGATTCTTTTATCATGTCGGACCGTAGTATGGGACAAATGATTGGCACAAGGCGTGAATCAGAAGACCTTTACTACCTTAACTCACTCAATCCCCCCACAACATGTCTAGTTACAGATCCTCCAAACCTAATTCACAGACGTTTAAGACATCTGAGTTTATTCAAGCTTCAAAAGATAGTGCCTAGGTTGTCTAGTTTATTTATATTAGATTGTGAGTCGTGTCAGCTTGGGAAACATACCCGAGCCTTCTTCCGCGTAGTGTTGAGAGTCATGCAGAGTCTATTTTCTCTTTAGTTCATTTTGATATATAGGGTCCTAGTAGAGTCAGTTCAACCTTGGGATTTCTTTAGTTTATTAGTTTCATTGATGATTATTCAAGATGTACTTGATTTTTCTTAATGAAAGATCGTTCTGAGTTATTTTCGATATTTAAGAATTTTTGTGCTGAACTTAAAAATCAATTTGGTTTTTCTATTCACACTTTTCGCAGTGATAATGCCTTAGAATATTTGTCCTCTCAGTTTCAGCAGTTTATAACCTCTCGTGGAATTATTCATCAGACATCTTGTCCTTATACCCCTTAGCAAAATGGGGTTTCAAAGAGAAAGAATAGGCACGTCCTTGAGACTGCTCGCACACTTCTCATTGAATCTTATATTCCGTTCCCTTTTTGCGCCGATGCAGTTCTTACAGCTTGTTATTTAATTAATCGGATGCCTTCATATCATATCCAGAATAAGATTCCGTATCCAGTATTGTTTCCCCAGTCACCCTTATACTCTCTTCCCTCTCGTGTTTTTGGGATCATATGTTTCGTTCCTAACTTAGACCCTGGGAAAGATAAGGTAGCTCCTCGTGCTCTTAAGTGCGTCTTCCTTGGTGATTCTCGTGTTCAGGAGGGATATCGTTGTTACTCACCTGATCTTCGTAGGTATATTATGTTAGCTGACATCATATTTTTTGAGTTTAAACCTTTCTTTACCTCTTCTGACCATCTTGATATATCTGAGGTCTTACCTATACCGACCTTTGAGGAGTTTGCTATAGCTCCTCCTTCACCTTCAGCCAGCCACATAAGTCTTACCCATTCCAACCGTTGAGGAGTCTAGTGTTGCTCTCTTAGATCCCCAGCCACAAGAACACCACTCTCGACTTATCATCGTCGTCCGCGCCCAGCATCATACCCAACCGATTCACGTCCTGCACCTGACCCTGCTCCTACTGCGGACTTGACTCTTCCTAGTACACCGATTTTATTTCAGAAAGGTATACATACCACACTAAATCTTAATCCCCATTATGTCGGTTTAAGTTATCATCGTCTGTCATTACCCCATTATGCTTTTATATCTTCTTTGTCCTTTGTTTCCATTCCTAAGTCTACAGGTGAAGCATTGTCTTATCCAGGATGACGACATGCTATGATCGACGAGATGTCTTCCTTACATACGAGTGGTACTAAGGAGCTTGTTCCTCTTCTTTCAGCGTAAATCTACTGTTGGTTGTCGTTGGGTTTATGTGGTCAAAGTTGGTCCAGATGGCCAGGTTGATCAACTTAAGATCCGGCTTGTTGCCAAAGTATATTCTCAGAAATTTGGGCTCGACTACAGTGATATTTGGGCTCTATCCATGTCTGATGTTCGCCATTGGCCTCTCTATTAGCTGGACATTAAGAATGTTTTTCTTCATGGTGACCTTGAGGATGAAGTTTATATGGAGCAACCACCTGATTTTGTTGCTTGGGGGAGTCTCATAGCCCTGTATGTCGCTTTTGGTGGTCACTTTATGGTCTAAAGCAGTCTCCTCAAGTCTGGTTTGGTAAGTTCAATGTAGTTATCCAGTAGTTTGGCATGACTCATAGTGAAGCTGATCACTCTGTGTTTTATCATCATTCTGCTTCAAGTCTCTGTATTTATCTGGTGGTCTATGTTGATGATATTGTTAATGCCGGCAATGATCAGGATTGTATTACTAAATTGAAGCAACATCTCTTTCAACACTTTCAGTGATGACACGCTAACGGACTCAGACGATTCACCAAGTAGAGGGGTCAAGTTTGCTAGCAAGGCTAAGACCACGGAGGGCAGCCAAATAGGGAGTGGAAGCATGGACCTGATGCTTGAGAAGCTGCTAGAATGGGTCGAGTTATGGGGAGATTCAAGCCAAGAGCAAGGAGAGGCATCCGATGGGCGTAGGATCAAGGCCATCATTGCTAGTTGTCCAAAGTACAAACAGGACAAGAAGAAAGGTGACATGTACCTTGTGACATGGGAAGGCGAACCGCTCCATAGAGCATCATGGCTAATGGACAAAGATTTCCGGTGCACCAAGGCGAGGTGTGCGAAAACTCCAGATATTTATGGATTTGGTAGGAAGAATATTTGGAAAGCCTTGGAATGTTCTAGTCATGTAGAAAATTCTAGAGGGTGTACTTATTTGTAAATATGGAAAGATTTGTGGAACAATTATTATTTACACACTAGCCCTAAGGTGACTAGTATAAATAGGGGGCATTCATTCGTAACTCTTCAAGCAAAACAATCAAGTTATCTATAATAAAAAGCTTCATTTGGCAAATTTCTCTTGTCTTTCTTATGTAACATTCTCTTAGCGATTTTGAGCCTAATATTTTAGGCTGATTTGGCATAGCAAGATCATGCACGAGTTGTGCAAGATCGTGAGAAAGTTGTCTAGTACTGCACGTGCGATTAGTTTAAGAGTAAGGACGTGACATTTGGGATGAAATTGGTCCAAACGGACAGGATACCGGTCTAAGGCCATATGGGATTCGTTATAGAGTATTTTGGGAGGAGACTTGCTTTTTCTGTTAGATATTAAGGATTCATGCAGCTGATCCTACTAGTTTGTTTTGAGGCATAGTTATGTTGTGATGGTGTGTGCTTTCATTGTTAAATATTTCTTTAACCCTCGGCTTTTTGTAATACAGGATAATAAAGGGAATACATTCAGATGTTTCAAGTGTTGTTCATGGTGATGAATTCGAGTACAAGGACCCAGTTGATAGTTCCATCTCAAAACATCAGGGTATCCGGTATCTGTTTGAAGATGGCTCACGATTGGTAAGGGACATCACTCGCCCTCCCCATAGCTTATGTACTTTAGAGAACACTTGGTATCAATGAAGGTTGTGCAGTTCTTATGCATAGAGAAGTTTGAGACTTTAGAAAGTTAAATGGATTTCTCATATATTAACAATTGTAGATGGAGGTCCCATTCGTGTGTTATAAAAGAATTATCTAACAAATAAATAAGAAATGCAACACATTTTGTAATCCCTTTATTCCTTTCTTCCGAATACGTCTCCCCCCTCCTCCCTCTTTGTACGATAATTACTTTGAAGGATTTCTGACTAACTTCTGGTGTTGTGCAAGGTTTTCCGTCTCTCTGGAACTGGCTCAGAAGGCGCTACCATCCGTGTTTATATCGAGCAGTACGAGAAGGATCCATCTAAGATCGGGAGAGATTCTCAGGAAGCACTTGCTCCATTGGTAAGTTAACGGCGTTTTCTCCCTTACCTCTTTTTTTTGGGGGTTTTTCCTGAATCAACTGTCTGGTAATAGGTGGAGGTTGCTATTAAGCTGTCAAAGATGCAGGAATTCACTGGCCGTTCTGCCCCAACTGTAATAACATAAATACATATTGCCTCATGTAATCCTTTCTGTACTTTAGAAATAAGTGGTCCTAGTGTCCTCATTCAAGGACTGCTGGAAAATGCACCATATTCAATAGTCTTTCAAAAAAGAAGATGCAATGTATCAGTTTTTTGAGTTCTGTAGTGAGTTTTTTTTTTTCAGAATAGACAAGCAGCGAATTTATCGTATTTTCGATGATAATGGTTCAAGTGAATCTCAACAATCAGTACGGGTTTTCATATTTTTCACTTCATAAATGTTTCTTCTATCGAAATGATGAACTCCTTTCTTGTTAGATTGAAGTTTTCTAAGTTTTACCAGACATGGTTTAGTCGGTCCGGCATGACACTGGATTTTGCTTATTGATGGTTCGATATAAATTTCACTTTAAAAGCACCGCACTAACTCTGTTGCTTTACTAAGAAGGTGTTTGGCTAAGCTTATAAGCTGGTCAAACTGGCTTATAAGCTGGTTAAACTGGCTTATAAGCACTTTTTGGCTTATCTACGCGTTTGGTAAATACCCAAAGCACTTATAAGCTAAAACTCGTTCATTGGCACGTGCGTCGCACGTGCATGCCAAATCATGTAATACGCTGTTTTGTAAAATAATATCAACAATATTTGAATAAAGAGTTGAGTAAAAACTATCCACGAATGAATAAAGTATAAGTTTATTATGTGAATGATCAATATGAATCATTACTTGTTTGCCGAAGTTAAAATGATTGTACATAATATGAATCTACAAAGATGAACAACCAAAGTTTAATTAGATATATTTGACTTTTTTTTTAACTTGTTTTAATTTTATGACAATCATGTAATTAAGTGTATCTCACCTGATACTTCCTTATATATGATATTCTTGTTTTATATTCCTTTCGGCCGTCCCAATTATAATTATGTTGGGTTGATGTTGTCTTCTTCAAAATGTTTGATCTTCTGGATTCTTATGTATGCGTTTATCTCTTCATCTGCAATTTCTATTACACCAACTTTTCCAACTTCATGTAGCTTCTTTGCAATTAAACATTTTGCACCTCGACAAGAGGGATTGCTCAGATGGTCAACACTCCCACCTACAATTCTGGAGTCATGGGTTTTGACTTTTGAGTTACCAAAAGAGCAACAACTCCAACAAAGGGGATTAAAGGGGAATCAAAGGGGAGTGAATAAATAAAAAAAATCTTGCACCTCGATCTTATGAAATTTTATATTAGTTTTGATTAGAAAGATAAAATCTTTATCCTTATTCAACACCAATTTGTAAAATAAATTTAGATGCTTTATGTGCCAAATTTTAATAAATAACTTGTTTTAATTTTATCACATCATAAAATAAAGTGTATATTACCTAATACTTCTTTAATATGATATTCTTATTGTGTATTCCTTTTCATCGTTCCTAATGATAATTATATTGGGCCGTCATTGTCTTCTTCAATATATATTTTTGTTCTTCTTGATTGCTATCTCCGTATTTGTCTATTCATCTTCAATTTTTATTTCACAATTTTTTTTAACTTTGTGTGTCTTCTTTGTAGTTAAACGTCTTGTAACTCGATCACCTCAATTTTTTTGTGCCTATTTTGACAAGAAATGTGAAATCTTCATCCTTACTCAACACTCATTAGCGCATAAAATCTTCCTGCTTCATGACTTCTACATGATTAAAAGTTTCTGTAGTCCATTTCTTCCTTAACAACTATGGATTTTGTTTGTATAGTCGGTTAATCGGGTTCTGCTCTAAAAAAAGTAATCTGTTGGACAATGTTCTCTGATCCTGCAAGACTTTTCGAGTAAGTGCATTAATGAATTGTAGTATTTCTCTAAAGCGCCAATGACCAATTATGAAATTTGGTGACTAAATAAACGGTAATATTATTTATATCAAGAGTCAAAAGATATTTTTTTTACATCTTGGGAAACTTCACGCCTAATGTTTATATTGTTTGAAATCATAGCCTCAATTATATGTTTCGGTTTCTCAAACAGAAATGTATAATTTTCTACAAAACGATCGATTAACGCTAGCAACTACATCTCTTATTTGGATCCAACTCCACTCAATTAGTATTGTTCGCAATAAATCATCTTCATAAAATCGTCATCCTTACATAAACATACATAAATAAACTAATAATTCATTTACTGATATATGAAAAAGTAAAAAAATAATTAAGAATATGAGTAATTTATCTTTCCTTGTAATCAAAATTTTCGATGCTACGACAAGGACGTGTTGCAATATTATTTACAAAGTCTATTTTCTTGTATTTTTTGTAAGAAAATTTCTTGGATCATCTTATTTGTTATATTTTTTATTTTCGCGTTGAATCTACAATATATATACTAAAAATAAACATAAAATAGCTTGCCTAGATTGGATAGACTCTAAAAACTACAAAATATTAAAGTAGTTGAAAAAAGTAGCTCTATATAGTCAAATGAATCATGACGTGTCAATCTTCACGTTTTTGGCCTCGTTCTTTCACATGATGATTGTTATTTAGAAATTTAAAATTAATAATGGAAGAAATGAAAGCAACCTCATTATATCTAAAACAATTGATGACCGTTGGTGAAAGGGAATATTCAAGCATCCTTTGGCAAATAATTCAAATGGCACCTGTAACTTTTAAATTGAAGCATTGTATCCTTTGGCAAGTAATCCAAATAATCCTTTAATTTATAAATACATCTATTTTATTTTGTTTTATTAAATAGGATATTTTGGTAAATAAGAAGCGCATTTAAGTAATTTAATTTTTATGTTCTGAATTCCCTACTTTTAATAGGGTGAGTTACACTTAACTTAAAGGAAAAAATGCAAGCTCAAAGCTTTAAAATGGTGAATGATGAGTTCATTCTCATTTTTCTTTTGATAATATTATTTAACAATCGTTAAAAGAACCAGGCTTTACGTGAAATATTTTTGTCATCTTCGATACTTAATTAACAATTATCACAACGCTAAATGATGCTGGATTTCCTGAATGTTTATCGCTCAATGGAGAAAAGAAAAAATATATTAGAGCTCTAACAATGGAGCCAATCCTTTTAATTTAATGTAAATTATATCTAAAAGAAGAAACTTCGCCCGTTATGAGCTCGTTTACATTGCCGGTCCCAACCCTGGATAAAGGAGGAAGGTTGCGGAGGCCGGAGGGTCAATCAAAAATATCCTCTTTACTATATAAAGCAAGGAGTAAGACTGCGTACATCTTATCTTTCTCAGACTCTACTTGTGAGATTTGGGTTTGTTGTTGTTGTATATATCTAAAAGATGAAAAAAGAAACAAAGAAAACAATCCAAACAACATTTGATAATCAACTAATCAAGTAGTACATTAGCTTTAATATCCGCAAATGTATTAATCATAGTCCATATATACATGTTATTGGTCTTATGTAGACATACACATAGAGACTTCCTTTGTCCACCACAAGTATGATCAAAATATACCTGATTAACAACAAAGTTGAAACTAATTATTTAGAAAATAATAAAACTGCCCATCATAAATTATGTGCATAGGGTTTTTCTTACAAAAAGTTTATATATATATATATAGGCATCAAATGGTAGCAATTAGCAGAAAACAAGCTTCTTTTACCGGAAAAAATAAATTTACGGCGTTGTTGCTGGAACTGAGCAAAATGCAACAAACAAAACAAAGTACTCCATATTTTATGGAGAAAGAGAAAAAGAGCCAAGTGATTTGGCACTATGGTATCTACTTATATAAGGTGTAGACTAAAAACTATGCATAAATAATATCGTAACAGAAGAAACTCAAAGGACCAAGCACATATTTGGATGTGAAAAGTTGTATTTTAAATAATTCTTTAAGAAAATTTGTACATTTATAGCCTACAATAATTACTTGGTATATGAAACAACCCCCCATTTACCCGTTTAATGCAGCTGGTTTTATTTATTTGATTTAATAATAAGGTATCTTTTCGGTTCAAGGGTAAAACAGCCAATCTATTTTTGATGGCTAAAATTGTAAATTAACTTTTAACTAAAAAATGTTCTCACTTTTAATATAAATATATGATATGATTAGCCATAAGTCATAAGCTGGTCACCCCCAACTTATGGCTTTTTAGCTTATAATCACTTTTAGTTTGACCAAGACTTTTACTAGTTTATCCTTAATAATATTTTCTAATTCACAAAATATTTTTTCCAAAATAAATTTTCTATCTTTCTTTTCATTTCATATTCGTTTTTCATCTTTTTCTTTACAAAGAAACTTTTTAATTTATAATCTTTTGTAAAGTTTTTAAGGATATTGTAGTCATTTTAATAAAAGAACAACTTATTAGCACTTTTCTATCAAACACATCAACCGTTTATTATCAGTTTCAGCACGTCTATCTAAACACGTAAATGCTTATTTGAAAAATCAGCTTCATCACTTAAAAATGCTTTTCAAGCTTATCGGCTATTTACAATCAGCTGATCCAAATAGGCTCTAAATCTAAATCAAATCAAAGTTTGTTTCTTCGTGCGTTGGTTTGTCATAATTCTGGCTGTTTAGTTTTTTACTTTTTTTTTTCCAGTCACATGAGACGTAAATTCAATCAATTCAATCTGCTAGAGAAACATATGCGGATAGTAGGTCTAATATAATCAAATTAATTGCACATCAGTTTGTAAACTATGACAATATATAATTATTGAACTCAAGCGTAAACGCAAGGAAAGTAACAATCAATAATTGTTTAACCCCAAAATCTAGCAACTAAAAAACAATCAATAATTTTTTGACCCCAAAATCTGGTAATCCCCTTGCAGGTTATTCTCATATATAATTTTTTAATAGATCTTGTGAATTTTCTGTAACGACCCGATCGGTTGTTTCGAGCTCTAGTGCATCATTTGACGGTTTGAGGCCTTGAGTAACTTCACTTCATGTTTTATGACTTGTACGCATAGTTGGAATTGAATTTCGGGAAGTTCACAGTTGATTCAGATGGAAAATTCTCAATTTGGAGTCTTTAAGTTGGAAGAGTTGACCAAGGTTTGACTTTTGAGTAAACAACCTCGAAATCGGGATTTGAAGGTTCCAATAGGTTCGTATTGCCATTTTTGACTTGAGCGTATGTTCGGGTTCAGTATCAAGTGGCCCGGGAGCATTTCAGTGCTTATTGTGGAAAGTTGGCATTTTGAAGGTTTAGAAATTCCTAAGTTTGGTTTGAAAGGGGCTTTGGTGTTATCGATGTCCGTTTAGGAT